GTCGGTGTTTAAGAGTGCAACCTCAGTGCCAGAGGCCAGGAGGCTGCCTAATGACTGGCACACCCTGCCATCCATCACTATGCCACCGCCAGGCCAACTGCCCCCGCACGGCCGACAGAGCAGGGCCTTAATAACCTCTCATACCCATTCAGTGGACCACAGCACACGACATGAAACACATGCGAATTGGAAGAGATTGAGCCATGTGCATATAAAGCCACAAAGAGTTGCATGCAACAAATTCTAACACGCATTTCCAGCACAGACAGCATGAATATGCAGTCAAAATAGCAGATGCACTCAGACTCACAGCTCATTGGGCTCATTTTGCATGCACACTGATGCCAACAAACATACAGAAATCTGCCTCCAGACACTCATTCACATGCTATTTATGATTAAATGTAGGCAGACGCGCAAACATGAAGGCACAGATACATCCACAAACACAAACAACAAGCACCTCCCTTCTGTATTTCTGCCTTGTTGCTGAACATTTGCGACGAAACAATTGAGTGCTCCTGCTTTCATGATATTTTATGTTGAAATGGATATCCCTGTAGCCTGCTAGTTCAATTCTCCCATGAAGAACCATCTCATTCCTTTCCTCCTTTGCTTATTTCCCCACATTCCGGGGCTCTTCCCTGCCTTAGCCTCTGCCTGCTTTGCTCCCTGTCAGAATGACAGGCTTTGAAGCCCCCCGTTTCTTAGTGAGGGTTATTTTATCAGAGAGGAACAAGGATTCCCCCCTGCGCTCCTCAGCTCATCCACGTAGCATGAAGCATCCCCTCTCAATTAAGAACCTTTCATGTTAATGGCGTTCTTATCGCTCCTGTGCACGGGTTGTGAAAGCAAGGCCTGCTATGGTGGAGTACAACCGTAGAGCAGAACTGCCTGGTTGACAATATAAGAGCTGTTACTCTCATTCTTCTTCTTGTCTCTGACTCTCTTGGTCTTACCAAGTATCTCTATGTGGAACTCTCTCTCTCTCTCTCTCTCTCTCTCTCTCTCTCTCTCTCTCTTTCTTTCTTTCTTTTTGTCTCTTAATGAGTTTTGGTGGGTTGTTGGAGTAGTTACATGGAGGTGTTCCAGTTAAGTGGCAGATTTGTGGCAGGGGTCATAAAGACTAGGGGAGACAGCGGACACGGCCTGACCACTAACACCAGATTCCACCTGATTCGAGTCTAGGTTCATTATGTCTCAAGATACACATTCACACGAACGAGAAGGTCATTGCATGTGTCTCCTTCGACATTTAGCTCTGTCTGTGTCCTCGGCCCCATTAGCCGCTCTCTACTCTACTCCCCATTCTTTCTCTCCCTCCTTGTCTTTCGGAGTAGAACAGGGTGTATGACTTCAGGACGACGTAGGCAGTCACTGTGAGATCGTAGGAGCACTGGCTGCCTCTGTGTGCGTGGGTGCCAGAGAAACCTGTTGCCTGGCTACAACAGCACCTTTATCCTCTGGTTGCGATGGCGATGTCCTGCATATGCATGTGTGTGTTCGTACCAACTTTTTTTACACATGCGTCTCAGACTCTGTTTGTGTGCGTGACTGTGTGCTCAATTTAACATGGATGCTCGCCTTTGTATGTTGATGGATCTGTCAAAGACAGAGGGAACGTGGAGAGAGGAGGGGCAGGAAGGCGCTCCACCACCCACTCAGCAGGCCTTCCGCCCCCATGGCTGACTCCCCAAGACTCCGCTAGTAATTAGCTCAACATCTATCCATCTGTTCTAGGGAGGCGCAGTAAACATTAACACAACACAGCAACATCAAAACGCTGGCTGGAGACACGCTACAGTTTTACACATGATACATTCATGCATTCAGAGACCTCAAATGTGAACGCTTGGCACACACGAGCTCATGTGTGTGTCTGTTTGCGTGTGCAGGCACCCTGACATGCATGTATTTATAGGCTCAAGCACATATGCACTCAGAATCATACAGACCTGTATTCAGAGAGAAACAAACAGCTTCACATCCTGACACACACACACACACATGCACACCACAGGCTCCTGAAACTGAACCCCACTCCTTGCCTCCACTGCAGGAAGCAAGGCTGGAAAGCTTCCCTGAAACCCCACATGGGAAACGAGTTGAAAAAAAAAAAAAACAACCAAGACTACATTACACAATTAATCAATAAGTTAATGAGATCTCATTTTCTCTGGAAAATAGTACCCAGGAAAAAAAAAAGTTCCTCTTCAGCCCAGCCCCCCCACCTCTCCTGGAGTACAAACTTCTGATACCACACAGTGGAAAAAGAACGCAGCCAGGAGGAAATTAAATTAAATTGTAAATCCTGATAGATTTACGTGATGCTTTACATTTTCATTGTGTTGTTTTCCTCTCAGAGTGGAGATGCGCTTTAGTTTGGAGAGAACTGTTAAAAATGTTGTAAAGAATGATGAGACAAATGAAAAGTTCCAGGTGTGCAGATTCAAAACACAGATTACTTGTGTTATGATCACCTGCATGCTCACCATGTGTGTATTTTGGCTTTTGCATTTATTAGGACACGATGGCGGTAGAGGGACAGGAAATACTCGGGATGACACGCTCCCTGAACAGCGTTAAGACTGGGGCTCAAACTTTGCACCAGTGTGACGAGAACTGTAGCCTCGGTACATGGGGTACCTGCTCTATCCACTGAGCTTAACTAACGCCCCTCCATCTGTGTAGAGTGTAAATGTGTTCGTTTTTGTGTGATTATGTGGAAAAGGTAGGAAACAGCTGTGAGCGTGGGTGTGGGAAGGAGGCTACTCTGTGTATCCATGCGTATGATTGTGTACACCTAACCCTTGTGAGTAAATGTCTGTTACAGTATCCTAATGAGTTTGTCCTTGCCCAGTCTGTTTGCACATGTGTGTCTGTGTGTGTTTGCCTAAATTAATGCTTAAGCTGTGTGTCCATACATATTCACTCCCACCTGCACCCATACATCCACATACGTTTATTTGCGCTCATAACTGAATGAAGCAGTCTGCATTCAGCACTCTCATTTCCCAGTCAGGATTGAGGGCATCTCTTGGCTATTGACACAGCTGGTGATGCCATCTGGGGGGCAACACACACACACACAGACACACACACACATTCACAGTGCCATCTCAATCCAAACATTGGTGTCCACACCAATGACAGGGGACAGGGTAAGCAGTGGGATAACACACTGAAATGTAAAGCACCAGCAGCTCCCTGTGAGGGGGAGAAGAGGGAGGTCATATCTCTCCAGTTTCAGTTTTCATTTTGAGGAAATGTTTCAGCTGTAGTCTGAGTCGTAATCGATGGTTTTAGTTTAGATTTACCCACAATTCCAATAACAACAACAACAACAACAACAACAACAACAATAGTAACCACATGTGTCTGTTAAGATTCCATTCATATCTAGTTTCTGTTTAAAAAAAGGTGTAGGTTGAAGTAAAAACAGAAACGTATCAAAAAAACATATCTGGTCCTACTTCTTTTTTTTTATCAAGCTTATCAATCAAGCAAAGCCAACGATTCCAAGAACACAGAGAAACAGATAACTAGCAAAGCAAAAAATTGCAACAACAAATAAAATATACAACATATTCCGCCGACAGATGGTACAGACAGTGCAGATGAAAGCTCTTTGAAAATCTTCCATTTTATATCTGTTATATCTGATATCTGTTCCATAGATTAACTCCCACTTCCGTGACACAACAAAGTTTTGCATTGGTCCTCGCATCTCGTTTTCCAGTTTTACATCTTTGTGAAGCACTTTGGGCTGCGTGTTCGCATGGAAGGTGCAGATGTTTCATTTCTGGAGCAGTGACCGCAAATACACAATCAGAGGAGGTTGTTGGTACATGTAGGATGTTTTGTCAAAGATGTAATTGTTTCTTGGTATCTGTGTTCGCCCAGCCACACCCCTGTCTGATGAAAAGGGGGGAGAAGGGAGCAAGGGAGAGGGAGAGAGGGGGTGATGTAGTCGTAGATTAATGGTACACACTGAGAGGGAGCACAGACCTACAGTAACAGCGGCCTTGATTTATTTGCCACTTAGTACTGATGAAGCTTCAAACTGCAGTCACACACACATGTTGTCACGGCATTTTTCTCCATCAAGGGTCTTCTGTGGTTTGTCGATTTTTGCGTCTTCTTTAGTTGTGAGTGCATTCATGCATGAAAGTGGGGGTTTGTTTACCCTTTTTCTTACATACACGTGATGACAATTTGTCTTCCTGTTTGCTGTTTACCTGCTTTTATTAAGCTGCCACAAGTCTGTCTTAATCATTGCAGCTTCTATTTGTATCATAAGTGTTTGTGTTGGGTTATTATGCTGTATTAGTGTGTTCAGTTGGATATTTATGATTAATTTAATGCGATAGAGACTAAAATGGGAACATCCCTATGCCGTGCTAAATAATCAAAGCTTTTTATGATCACAGAAGCGAATTGATATTACTCACACCAGTGCAACATCCCTTTAAACGCTACCTATTACTCATAAGCTGTCAATTTAGGGAATTTGCAGAGGTAACCCTGTAACAATTTGCAGGCGGCAAATTGTTGAGTTTTGACTTGGTAAACACAAGCGGAGTTAATTGAGGGCATCGACTCATCATGTGGGAGGACTTGACAAAATGCCATAAGTGTGTTACATGAGCACACATTGCAATTATCACACATATGCGCGCACAAATACACACAAACACTCATTTAGAGATACAAAGATACAGATAGCAACATAATGAGGGGGATTATTGTCAATTTCTGATCCCAGATTTGTTCTGCTCCCTGCTTGTGTGTTTATTTTTTCCCATACTCTTCTGTTCTCAGGCTTTGTTATCGTCTTGTTTTTCTACTTAAGTCCCATCTTCTTCAACATAAAAGCCGTAGTATCTGTGCGTCACTACGGCCCTATGCTGCTGTATCCTAAAGAAACTATGCTTCCCTTGCAAGACCATCCATTATGTAATCTCCTCTTCCCTCTCTCTCTCTCTCTCTGTTCCCCACAGAACCCTGATATTGTGCTCGTCCACTATTTGAATGTTCCAGCCATTGAGGATTGCGGGAAACCATGTGGTCCTATCCTGTGCTCCATCAACACAGACAAGAAGGAGTGGGCCAAATGGACCAAGGAGGAGCTAATCGGCCAGCTCAAGCCAATGTGTGAGTATTTTAAGTCTCCCTGTTAATGCAAAGCCTTTAATATAAACAGTTATTGTCTCCTCTAAAAGGGACTCAATAGTCTTTACATGTCTATTTGCATGGAAAGACTGAGCATAGTGGCTGTTGTTGTTGTCTGAGGATGTATTGTCTGCTCCTATTAGCTGATAGCTGGTACACTAAGTGCCCTCAGCACCTCAGTCAGAGAGCATCCTCCACCAGCTTTCCTACTCTGCTACATGAGTCTGTGATTTCTTCCTGGAGCCTTCTGCCAGTCATGGGTCAGAGTTCTCTTCCCCTGGACCCTCTGGCACGGCTCCGGCCAGGCTGAGAGTGCACCTCCTTCGTGGCCCAAGAAGGAAGTGGAGGCACAGGAGGGCAGCAAACTGGTTATTGATTCATGTTAGTGCGTGGGAGCAAGAATGTCTGACTCACCAGAAATCCCCACCCCTTCTCTGATCACCCCCACCCCAACCCCAACCCCTCCTTCTCTCAATGGATTGATCCTTGTGTTATCAGCTTTACTAATGCTCTGTGAGATGCGTTTTTTATGAGTCTCCAGACCGGCCCAAAGATTGAGGCAGTGTTTTGGAAAAAATCTGGGTTTGTCTGATGATGATAACAGCCAAATGGGGACCTTAAAGGAGCATTGAAAATCTTTCAGGGAGCTGTTAAGATGCTTTTAACAGCCAAGCTGTGATTTGGGTGTGTCTGGCAGGGGCCAGTGACTGATATGCCAGTGGCCAATTATTGGTGATGCGTCCAGGTAAAGAGGACCCTGTCAGCAGCTTTACAAGCACACACAAGCGTGCTGGCTGCATACTGACAAGGCAGTCCAGACTATCATCTCAGCTATATTGTTATCCTCCTCACTTCTCTGCTTCCTATCAGTTTTTAGGACACATTCCACATAAAGCCTTACCTCAGGACAGCCACTGAACAACAACAGCCTACTGTATTCATTACATCTGTGGCTTAATGTAAAAACCAAGCACCATTTGCAGTAATGCGTAAAGTCATTAACTTTGGGAGTTGTTGGGACAAAGAGGATGAGTGTGAGATGACTTCTAGCTGCCAGGCTACATGAGGGGGTAACATAAAGAGTACAAAAAAAAATCCCTCTACTGCTTTCTGTCTGTGCTTTCTGTATTTCCTCTCCTCTCTCTGTTCCCTCTCTTTCTTCTGGACCAGCCAGCATGTCAACACAGGCTCAGGGATGGAGCAACATTGCCCTCTAGTGGTACAGTCAGGCAGCAACCATTCATATGTAGAGAGGAAAGACTTAAGATGAAGTCATTCTGTATTATCCATGCATTATTTAATCTTAAATTATACATTAGCTTTTAACATACACTCAACTTTTTTCTCTGACTGACCTATATCTTTGGGAAATGTGTGCAAAGACTATGCATGTCTCTGCATATAGCAGAACTTCCATGATCCTTCAGAGGCTATGTAGATAATCTGAAGGACAGATTCCCCATTTACTTAAAAAAAAAAAAAAAACCCATCAAACTTTGTAGAATGACTGCAGAATACAAGATTGAAGAAGTACAGTATGTTTGACACTGACTCATGAGTAGGATTTGAGGCTGTGTGTTAAGAAAATGTTCTGATATAATGACAGTTCCTATTTCCCAAGCTGATTTTTGTCAGCCGGAGAAGTTTAACGTCAAATAGTTAGTTTGCCAGAAAATTGTCAACTTTTTGCAATATAATTGCCCTCTTCCCTTTTCCCTTTTTGTTATTCTCTTCACAATATTTCAATGCGCAAACCATTTGACACCTCTAATGATAGCAAAAAAACAACAAAGGGGAAAGTGTGGATTTCATGGATCAGTTGAGCTTACTCTGTCTACCTACGACAAAAACACATTCACTAAAACTTAGACGTGCACATTTACACACACACACACACACACACACACAAACAGCAGTTCAAAATCTAACCCCTGCAAAACATGGCCTTGTCTGACCTTTTCCTCCTTAACGCCCTGCAGTGTTTGATGAGAAAGAGGCAAAGAAGGAAGGGGGTGAAGGGAGTAGCATCACCACTCAGTCACGCTACAGCTCCATAGACAAGGCAGCCAGCTTGATTCACTCGTTTGGTCTAATGCTATAAACACGCAGCACTCTTTCCAGCTACGCCCCTAGCCTGCTGACAGATAGCGCATGAGCGGCTTTAACAAACACCCAGACAGACAGAAGGCCTGTCTCTCGGCTAAAAAGACAGGGGCAGAGGAGAACACACCAAGCTAAGAAAGACAGGGCTGGCCATCATGTAAACTATTGCACTCCACTGTCCCATGTAAGGCCCAATGGTGCAGAGGCAACTAGAAGCGGGTCTACTCGTGTGTCCTGTGTTTGTCATTAGGCCTGTCTGATGCTGCTCATGACAGGACCCAGTCATCGGGATGATGATGTGACCGGGTTGCTGTTTGGTGCCTCTGCTGTCGCTGCCACTGGGATTAAACCTTGTAGCGCTGCTCCTGTCACGTTCGCTTTGGAACATAACCCTCAGTGAGACGAGCGGACAGGCAGACATGCCGAAAACTGTACGTCAACAACCCTGAGCCTCCGGAGGTGACGCCCGTCGAAATGAAGAGGGCTGTGGCAATACTGGCATGAGGGATCAGATTAGGGTGTAGGGAAGACATGATTGTTTGGACAAATAGGGATGGCACTACATGGTGGATGTAAGCCGTTGTAGTAGGCGCTCGCTTTTGCTCCGTCACCCTCTCTGAGTCAGATCAGCTGAATGGATGCTCTTCTGTCCTGCAGCCTCCCCGCTGGCTTCGTCACAGAGGGGGGATTCATGACAGTCACTTTTTGTCTGCTTGTGGCCCTCTCATCTCAGTGTCAGTATCACTATCATCATCTAATTTGTACTGTTTGCTTTACACACTGTCAGGAGGTGAGCAGTGACTCAAGCCACTCGGTCTAAAAGGATCTCTGGTCAGACACAATTACTTGTGCAGCAATTAAAACAACACCAGATAAACATTTGGTTTTTTTTCAGCTCACTCAATCTAGATTAAAATCTGAAATAGTCTAACTTTATAATAGATCAAAATGTATGTATTTATCTTTCTTCAACCTGCCACACTAAGCTGTCTGTGATCTAAGCCCAATCACAGCAGTTCTGCTGACATCTGCTGGTGACCGGCCTGTAATCTGCCAAAGGATCTTAAAGCTTTCAAGTTAGATCCTTATCCCAGTCATCCAATCATGTTTCCCAGCTTTTCCCACTTTGCTTTAACTAGCGCTCTCTCATCAATCTGCAATATCCTCACGCGCGTTCTCTGTTTCCATCTCCTTTTATCTCATATGCAAACAGATATGCACTGAGCAAATTCTTGCTGTTTTTCACACATGCTGCAAACCTCACTCTTTTCATATGTACCTCTCTCTTGCATATTTAACTAAAGGAGGTACTGAAGTGTAGGGAGCTTGAATTAAAGCGGCCTTGATTTTGCTTGATAGTCTAAATATGCTTCACTTCTGAAATATTACCTTTTTTTCCGGTTGAGAGCTTTAGGCGCTGCAGCACTCAGTGGTGTCTCCCGCCACCTTACAGCCACTAAAACCACTATCTGTCTCATCAGAAGTGGTGGCTGGTTGGCAAGCGGAGCGATGAAAAGTATTAGGAGTTGCTAGCGAGGTGTGACGGAGGCAAGGAGTGAAGCCTTGCAGGAGAAAAAGCCTCTCTTTTTCCTTCGCTGTAGCTGCAGCAGCAGCAGCAGCAGCAGCAGGAGCGGGTGAGGGTCCTCCCTAGAGGCCTTCCCTGTCAGGATGAAGTCACAGGTCAGGAGAAGGGTGGTGGATGGAAGGAGTGGGCTTGCTGTCACCTTCATCAGTACTCGCAGAGGGGAGAACACAGAGAGGCACAACAGAGACTGACACAAGAATCAATAGTGGAGTACAGAAGACTTGACTTAACAGTGATGGGAGACTGGAGAAGGCTTCTGTTAAATTCTGTACAAAGGAAACAAGACACATTGAGTATATACACACGGTGGCCATTTTTCTCTGTGTCACACTCAGGGATGGGAAGGTCAAATGCTGGTACAATGACATACTACTGTATTCTGGGTAGTAGGTCATATAAATTGGCAAGACTGATCAGCAACTAAAAAGTCAATAAATACTGAAAATCAGAGGAGACTATACGCTATGTTTCAAGGCAAAACAGCATACCAACTTTCCAGACTGAACCATAGATTTGATCAAACAGATGGAGGTGGTCTCAGTGACATCAAACATTGATTTCTGTAGAAAAGCGAGAAAATGGTGGTCCTTATATTGGAAATGCTCTACCCCTAACTTTTGATCGAGCTAGTACAGTAACAGGCAAGGGGGCGATGCTGAGCCTCCTGGTAAACAGCTACAACACGCCAGCCTGTCAGTGAATGTAACCATGCCCCAAAATGTTCAAATGTATGCATATCTCTAATCCTGAACATCATCAAAATATATGCTTTATAAAAAACAAATGTACCACTGTACTTTTTTTTTTTTTTAAATATTACAGAAATGGGCTTTACAGATCAAAACTATTTTTGGAGCCAGGCTGTAAATATGTTCAATTCTGCTGTAAAAGTGGACATTTTAACATGTGACCTAATGGGGAGCCCCCAGCTTTAGCAGCCAGCCTCAAGTGAAAACTCAAGTACCAACATGTTTTAACAAAAAGGCAACCTTTGAATTTGAAAAATGATGCCAATGTAGAAGTGCAAAAAAAAAACTGCAGCTCCTCAAGTGTCAACTTGAGACTGGCTGCAAAAGCTCTGAAAGTCCTATAAAAGCCCATGTCAAAATGCCCATTTTTTAAACAAAAATAAATGTGTTTGCAGCCTGGTTCAAGAACAGTTTTGGTCTCGATATCTCATGCCTTTATTGTTAAACACTGTACAGAGGTTGGGTTTTTAAATAATTAATCTGTTTTGATTATAGTACAGCTACGAGCTATGCGTATGGTGGCTGACTTGACTGACAGTAGGGACCCTTATAGATGTAGAGGCAAAAGGCCCACCTCAGCTCCACCGCTCTGCCTGTTGCTATGTAGTCTGAAAGTTAGTTTGAGACAGCATTTCCAATACAGGGACCACCATAGTTCAGTTTCAAAACTCCACTTCAGAAACCAATGGGTGACATCACTGAAACTATGTCAGTGTATCTACGGGACAATTGCCGTTGTATGAATATGGTATACAAGCAGGAAGGCAAAAGGCACAGTTTCTTTGAAATCCTCTGTACTTAAGCAACATCTAAATGGAAGGCTTTGCCAATCACTTTTCACTAATGGAACTACTTTACCATTTGACCTAAGGCCAGCCGACAGATTGCTTTTAAGTTTCAGGGGGAAAAAAACAACAGAAAAACATCCAGTGAGAAGCAAGAGGTTTACCTGAAGATAGACAGAGTGGCCAGAGGGTGGGGCGGGGGGTTGGCGTGGCTGGTGGTCTGTTGGGCTGGCTGACGTCTCTGTCTCCTCCTCTCTCCCGGCAGTTCATGGCATCAAGTGGACTTGCAGCAACGGGAACAGCAGCTCTGGCTTCTCAGTGGAGCAGCTAGTGCAACAGATTCTGGACAGCCACCAAACCAAGCCACCTCCCCGGACTCACAACTGCCTCTGCACAGGCACCCTGGGTAAGGGCTAGTGAGCGGACTGGGGGTTTGTCCAGAGATAATTGAAAGACATAGCAACAATTGGCCTTAAAGATGTTGTATTGTTAGAGAGTCGATTGAGATGGTTGAGGTATTTTATTTCTGGGTGATTTATTGTGAAATTCATTCAGGGTTATTGCCTTTTTATTTTTGTTTAGTGAGAACTGTCAGGGCTAAATCTGAAATAGCCCAGCTGTTCTGAAATTATATTCTAATCAATCATATGCTTTTAGCCGTCTTATATCACTTCAGGCTGTAACTCAAGAAAAAAATATGTTGCAGTGATCCACTAAAACAAATTGCTTTGGATAATCCCTTGTTACTTTCTTTTTTTCCAATGACAAGCCTAAACTTCAAATATAACTCATCAACTGGGTGCCAAAAAGAAAGGCCTGTTTAATTATCCTGAAAAGAAAATACTTTTTTCACAAACTTGTTCATACAAAAACTGACGGATCATCCCTCTTTGTCCCTGCTATTAAATAGAAACTTAAGTATATGAAAATCAGTTGGGTTCATTATTTATTTGATATGTGTCATGTTTGTTACCCCTCTTCCAAAATCCCCAATGTCTTTTGCTCTGTCTGTCCTCACACAGGTGCAGGAAGCAGTGTGCACCACAAATGTAACAGCGCCAAACACCGCATCATCTCCCCTAAAGTGGACCCCCGCTCGGGTGGTTACAGCAGCGCTCACTCTGAAGTCCAGAACAACGATGTGTCCGAGGGGAAGACTGAGCACAGCGCCCATGGTGGAGGCAAAAGCTCCGGGGGAGGAGGGGGAGGGGGGAGCGCCAGGGAGAAACGCAACGGCAAAGTCCACAAACCTGTCCTGCTGCACCAGAACAGCACGGAGGTGTCATCCACCAACCAGGTGGAGGTCCCTGACACGACACAGAACTCCCCCGTCTCCATCAGCAGCGGCCTCAACAGCGATCCAGACATGGCTGACAGCCCTGTGGTTACAGGGATGAGCCACGTGGCTTCTGTCATGTCCGGCTTGTCTCAGAGTGTCTTCATGTCTGAGGTCACTGGAGACCCTGTCTACAGCATGTCTCCCACTGGGGGTCCAAACAGTCACTTAATGGGTGCAGATGCCACCTCACAGGGCTTGGTGATGTCTGTTGCCTCTGATCGTCATAAATTCGCCTTCCCTGGAGGAGGAGGAGTAGGGGAGCCCGGGACTAACGCTGCAGGAGACAGTCTGGCCATGCTGTCCTCAGGAGGAGTGTCTGAGGAACTGGTCCTCTCTAGTAGTCTGGACTCTGGAAACATCAAGATCCCAGAGACCAATATGAACTTTGATCCTGATTGCTTCTTAAACAACCCCAAACAAGGTCAGACATATGGTGGCAGTGCAATGAAGACAGAAGGCAACTCCTCTTCAACCACATCTTCCTCTGTTAGCACCAACGGCAGTTTGCAGCGCTCCCCCACCATGTCTGACAACGCCTATACCTACAACTCAGCTTTGGTTAAAAATATCAAGACGGAAGACACGTCTTTTGAGCAACAGCTGGCTAAGGAGAGCGGCTACCAGGTTGGAACAGTAGTGAACTGTGGTAACGGGGTCAATGTGTCATCTGGTGCTGGTTCAGGCCAGGGAAATCTTACTCTCAATCCAGCAGGCTCCATGCTCCCTTCTGGTGGGGGTCTGAGTCCCAGCACCACCCTGGAACAGATGGATTTCAGTGCCATCGATGCCAAGCAGGACTATACTTCCAGCGCAGCCGCAGTGAGCTACAGTCAGGCCATGTCCAGCCCTCATATGCAGCATCAGAATCAGTCCCCTAGCTTCTTCCTCCAGGACGCCTCTCAGACTGGTCAGGCTCAGCAGGGGAGACCCGGAATGAACCAGAAAACACACATGATGGAGCACAACTCCCATGACTCTGGAGCTTATATGGGGCTACAAGTGGTGAAGACAGACTCCCCTGGCAGCAATGGCCACCTACACCACCACCACCAGGCCCACCAGACCCAGCACAGGGCTAACTGCAACGGAGGCTCACCAACCGAGGCACCCGGTCAGGCCGGCTCTCTCCAGCTGCTGCAGTACCAGGGCACCTTTCCTGGTTTGGGTGCCGAACATGAGGAGGTGGTGGGTCTGGATCAGCAAGGAAGTGTGAGTTCAGGTCAAGCTGGAGCCAATGAGAATGGAGCTGAGAATCTACTCAAGCCAGGAGACCACATTCAAACCTGTGGGGCAGGAAATGGAGAGGGAGGAGGCTCAGATCACTACCTGCAGCAGTCCTCAGATGGAGGCGGAGGAGGGACAGGAGGTGCAGGAGAAGGAATTCGTAATGGCAACAACAGTGATGGCAGCAGCCGCTCCCAGCAGCAACAACAGCTGCAGCCGCTTCTCCAAGGCACAAGCATGGTGCAGGGACTCTACAACACTGTGGGAACCCACCAGGGTCTGGGTGGAGCAGCCAGTAATGGAGGAGCAGGAGGGACAGGCATGGAGATCAGTCTGGATCACTTTGACATCTCTTTCGGCAACCAGTTTTCTGACCTTATTAACGACTTCATCTCAGTGGATGCCAGTGGAACCACAATGTCAGCCGGAGGGGCCATGTATGCTCACCAACTGGTCACATCACACAGCTCAGATAGTCAGAATGCAGCCGGTGGACCGCCCCAGCAAGGCCAAGAGGACGGAGGGGCCAGGGGCTCTGGCTACAACCCCTCAGAGCTCTGCCTCCAGCCCTGCTGCAGCCCCCAGTCTCTGAATGGGGGGGCTGGTGCAGGGGGAAACACAGGAGAGGCAGGCTCATTGTCCTACATGAATGTAGCAGAGGTTGTGTCTGCAGCTGTTGCTCAAGGGGCTCTGGGGATGCTTCAGGCCACAGGCCGCCTCTTCATGGTCACTGACTACTCGCCTGAATGGTCCTATCCTGAGGTGGGTAACAGGATTTTTTTTTTTTTGCATGCTTGTAATGTTTATTTTTGTTGTTATCATTCTTTGTCATGTAAAAACCTAATTGCTCTGTTAATGACGTATCTAAAATACTTCATTTGTATTAAATTCAAGTTGACTCATGTAAAAATCGAAATAATTCAATCAATAACTAAACTTTACTTTGTTAGTATCCATTGAATTTCAAGTATTCAATTCAATGGAAGTTTCTCTTCCCAGTAAGTGGCTTCAGTAATAGAGAGTTAGATCTTTGACATCTTGACTGAACTGACAATGAATTGTTAATGTTATTTCCTTCTTTATGATTAGTGTCATCTCTAACTCGATAGACTCTTTATAAGCTAAGGACAATACAATTAGAAACATTTTATTTTAAACATTAAAACTAGTTTTGTTTTCATTTCTTTCAACAGGCAGCTGATAACTGTTTTAATTTTGTCAAGTACAATTGTGGTTATGACACACACACACACACACACACACACACACACACACACACACAACACACACTGTTTCAGTATAATTCAAGCACTGAACTCCTCTTGCAGCAGCTAAAACCCAGATAACTGAAGCTTTGTTGTTGAGATAAAGGGTCATCTTCATTGGTATCAATTATTCATGTGCAGACAATTCTGCCCTGGGTTTTATTCCCTGTCCTCTTGTCATTGGAACTTTCTTGGGGCAATGCCAAAGAGTCAGATTTTGCTCGATCAGAATAACTTAAGATTTGTTGTCCTACTACGTCAGATATCAACGTCATTATTCTGAACAGCCAAAAAGTCTAAAAAGTCCAGCTTCAGATCAAAGTTGGAAAAGGTTTTGCAGTCATGACTGAGGTGATGCTTTACATATTTGGAGGCCCAGAATAAACTATATCACTTGGCCATGCTGTAACATTGAGTGTGACGATAAGACGATCGTAACATAAGCAATCAGGACTCAAAAGTTTGCTGGTCTGAAAATTATTTAGTAGCACTTTAAAAAAAGAAATCACCAGTCACAGGGAACAAACAGAGACATTTAGTAAGCGAGTTTCCTTTGTGTCTTCTTATAAATCCATAGGATAATAACATGTAGCTGCTGGTAAATATTTAACTATAAAGGCAACTTAATACAAAAGAGATTTTATGCAGGTAGACAAGAATGGTTGAAGCATTTAGGAAGGGATTCTGACTTCTGAGTGTGTTTTCCTGTAATGTTTTACCAAGACTCTTTGTATGGTGTGCAGCATATTCTCCTTGTTTTATAATAGATTATGTAATGCATCGTCTCCTCAGCACAAGTTTTCTGTCAGCAGTAATACCTTCTTTCCACCTCTGAGGGGTAGCATTAGCCTTTATTTAGTGTCTTTGAAAAAGGTTGTATTGAACTGATCTGGCTAATCCACATGGTGGCAGCAGAGATCAGTATAAGGGGCTCACTTTGCTTGGTGTTGTTCTTGCCTTTGCCCACTAGATGGCAGGACAAAACAAAGAATGTTATCCAGGGCACTCGAACCCGACCTGGCCGGTGTGTTATGAGTCTGTCCTGTTTTTCAGGGTGGAGTAAAGGTGCTGATAACTGGGCCCTGGCAGGAGGCCAGCTCAAACTACAGCTGCTTGTTTGACCAGATTTCAGTCCCAGCCTCTCTCATCCAACCAGGAGTGCTGCGCTGCTACTGCCCAGGTAACACAGGAGATCAAAAACTAGAAAGGGGTTACAACAACAATCACATCATTCCTGAAACACTGGAGTTGCTGCTTGTGCATTCAACTTTTATTCTGGCATTTGGAGTTCATCATCAACCTTTAGTTTTCAGAGAGATAATTGAAGGTGACCCTCATTTACAATGATGCCGAGTTATTTATGCAAACGAGTCAAAAGCTGAATACTTGATACATTTTTGTAACGATGGTTGTGTTAGACCTTAAGGCCTGCATCAAATGCTGCTGAAGATTATTCAAACAGATGTACACAAATTAAAGATGAAGCTGGTCAAGCCAGATGTGTCAGGGGAATCCCTCTAATGATGTGAATCTATGTTAATCAATAAATCCAAATGTAGGCATCTTATTTAAACCATACATTTTGTTTACACCAATATAAATTGTACATGGAAAGTTTTACCAGTCGCTACAAAATGTTTACTTCTTCTATGTAATGACTGACTTGATCCCCTCCCTCTCCAGCTCATGACACAGGTCTGGTGACGCTGCAGGTGGCCATCAGTAACCAGATCATCTCCAACTCTGTGGTGTTTGAGTACAAGGCCCGCGCTCTCCCTTCACTGCCATCATCTCAGCACGACTGGCTCTCACTGGATGGTACGTCCCTCCTCAATTTTACACTTGCTCTAGTCCCTCGCCCTGATTCCTTCTATCTGTACCTTCTCAGTGGTGTCCTCTGTCCTCTTTGCTGCCGTATGTGACTCCTAGTTTTTCTATTTGGCTCTCCAAATCTGTGTTGATGGCAGTCATTTTGTGAAGTTAGATTAATGACCCGCTAAACCATCATGCATTGCAATCCTATCGCCTCTGTTTTTATCTCATTTGGTTTGACTTCCAAATCAGCTTCCCCGGAGCCGTAATGTCTGGAGGATATTGTTAAATGAAGAGGAAACTGGCAAGAGATCAATTGTTACTTCTGATTTTTTTAATCATCCACATACACATAAGACATGTTTTATATTTATTTGCAGTTGTTTAGAAAATTTAACAAAGACATTTTTTATCATCGCTATTGTCAACTTGGGTTGTATTTTGTGGGATTGGTGTTTCTCCTTTTAATTGATCACACTGACAGGAGCACAAAGCTGGAACTTGAACAATGAGTAATGTGATTTAAATCAAATCTTGTGTTTGTGAGAAGAGATTGCGTAACTGCTTGCAAGGAAGGGCCTGGAGAACCTTATGTCATTGTTGTCGGTAAAGCAGGGGAGAATAATAATTGGAATTAAATTGCTGTGATTTTTGTCACAAAATGTTGTAATAATAATAAATGAGGGAAGTGAGTTTAGCTAATTGAATTGCACTGAACTAATATCAGTTTGATAAGTAATTATAACTATGGGGTGATACCGATTGTGACTGTTTTAAGCTGAATATTCTCATGGATTTGTGATATCAACTTGGTCTTACTGCCTAGTTCTACTCTGTATACTCAAAGTTTGTTGTGTTAATGTTGGGTATTTGTTGAGAGAAACACTTATTTCCAGCTCTTCTAAGATGGGCAAGTGTGGGAATTTGATTCTGGAGGGACATTTTAATAGTTGAAGCCAACCCATCAAACAATTACCCACCACCCTTTATGGAAACACATTCATGGAATGACATAGCCAAAGAAAGGATAAGTTGGCCTTAACAGAGGTAGAGATATTTCTGCTGTTCTGATGTAGCCCTGTCCCTCATTGTGTGGACATGGAAAAGGTTGGAGTGAAGCATACCAACATTACTTGTTTTAAATTGGTCAAAATAATGTATAATGTTAAGAATGTTTTTCCCTACATTACAGATCTGGGTTTGTTTACAGACATGAGATGTATCTTACGTGTGATAGCAGATCAGGCATATGCTAAATTTGGAAAATGCATACCCTAAAATCATCAAATTTGGAGCTTTTTTTTTTTTTTTTAAGGTCAACTCAGTGAAAGAAAGCCTAATTGTCTTATTGTGCTGAGAAGCAGGAGACCAATTGTGTTTTGCAGCTGTGACAGATTTTGACGGAGGTGTTTGTGGTTTATGGTAAAATTGCTTTGTGCCCTCCCTTACAGTAAAAAGCTTTTGTAGATCCTAACTGTAGAGGTCCTCCACAACAAAAGATGCTGCAGGGTTGGCAAATTTCCATTCGGTTTAGATTCAAAACAAGTGAGTCAGAAGACCTACCGTAGGCATGTTCACCAGAATGTAATGAGTATGTAAGTGATTGTGTGTGTGTGTGTGTGTGTGTGTGTGTGTGTATGTCTTTGTGTGTATATGAGTGTGTGCTTCTCGGGAAGCGTTGCTGCAGTGCTTGAGCATTGACAGGATAAAGTAGGGCACGGCGAAGCACAGGCTCACAGGACAGCTGCATTGCAGACGGCCCTTGAGGGAGTGGGAGTGAGTAATCGAGCGCTGGCGGCTCCCATACACAGCAGTACCAGTGGATCCCTCCGCCATTCATACCCTACTGCCTCACTGGCCCATTCACAGAACCAGTTAAGGAGGAGCTGACTGTCTCAGGGAGAACACAGCCCACCCTATTACCTTACTTATATTAACCCCTTACCTCCCTGCTTTCACTGTTGAGATCCAAAGCAAGCAGCACTTTCCTATGTAAGAAAGAAGACAATGAAAAATTATTATATTTTCACTTTTAAAAAGGGATTTTCCCTCGTATTCTAGGTTAAGATTTATGTATTCTACATCCAGCTATCCAGCTACTGGTGTATTTAGTTCCTACAACAAGAAAAGGTCAATCTTAAAATCAACTATTAGGTCAAACAGAGAGATCATGTGTTACAGTTATTTTTAGTTATACTAATGCAATTCTATGTTATGGTGAATGGGTGACTTATGTGTGCACCTTTACCTGTTTGTGACACTGACAGGCGAGGGTAAGTCATATCACAAGGATTGGAAAGGACATTTTCTACTGTGACAATTAAATGTACTTATAGAACACGACCAAATTCAGGACTACCGCATGAAGGACAGCGACTTCAAACTGCATGAGGGTTAAAAACAGAAGACTGACTGTCATCTCGGAGATGTAGATGATTGACTGTTTGACTTTATTTAACCCCTTTGATCACAGAAATGCCCAGTTTCCACTCTGATATCTTAAACATAAACTCCTTTCAGAAGTAGGGTAGGATACATTTAATCGGTTATGTCCAACGTCTCAAAGCACAACAGGAAAGAAGGAGGTGATGCACAACTGACTCATAATGATAGCTTTCCTTAGCTTACCACTTTTAAAACACTAGTGTGCCTAGATTCCAACGACCTAAGGTGACTACAGGTAGCTTACTTACCTCTTATACTCAGTCACCTGATTAACTAGGCATTAACATTACGTGCCATACGTGCAACATAAAGTCTGCAGCGGATGAGCTATACGGTTCTGTGAGTTTGTTCTCCCACGGAAGACTCGCTGTGCTATGATGTGCTAATGGCACAGCTGCCTGCCTGCCTTGATTTGTCATAATGCAGAGTGGGGGAAGGGGCGCTTTTCTCTGCAGCACTGCAGGTACGGAGCCATGGGCAGGACAGAAAAAAAAAAAGCTGCCGGAGCTGCAGAACCTTTCTTCAGTCCGCCCCAATAAGCCCCTGAGCTCTGATCCCACGACCCGATCCGAGAGAGGTTCGCTGGGGTCTGGCCAAATAACAAGCCCTGCATAGCGTCAGACAGACTGTTAGAGGAGTGTAGAGGAGAGACCGGAGCACTGAGTCTGACTCCACCGGCGTGACAAACGGCAGACCGTGTACACACACACACACACACACACAATGCAGGAGCAGAGGAGTGGGCGTGTTTGGGTAAACATGGTGAACTACCGCAAACAGACAAAGATTTAGTTTCAGACGTCAGCTGGACCGGGTGCGCGCGAGTCTTGTTATCTGTTTGACGGCTGTGCTGACTCTCTCCGGTGAGCGGAGAGAGACTTGGATCCGTGCAGGCGAAAAATTCAACCGAATGAATATGCGTCGAGCAAAGAAGTATATCGCTAACAATACTTTTCATTAGAAGTATTTCATGCAAAAAAAAAAAAAAAAATTATAACAATATGGGGGTCGAGGTTTAAGGAGCAAGAAAACGGCGTGAGGAGAAGGCGGCAAACGGGAATTAGGGCGTCTGTTTACCGGCGGCACGTGCGCACTACGTCTCCTAGCAGCGGTATTTTGTCATTTTACTGCAGGCTGCCGACTACTAGAAACACAAGGAAAAGTGTGCATGTGTGTGAGGTGAAACAAGTGGAGAGGAGGAGGAGGAGGGGGCTATTAGAGGAAGAAGAGTAGTGAGTGGTCTTCCTCTCGCTCTCTCTCTGTCTCTCTCTCTCTCTCTCTCTTCTCTCTCTCACGTCGCTCTCTTCTCTCACTTTGTTCTATTGTTGACGAGTGCTGTGTTGAGATTGAGATTCAGGCTATAATAAGGATTTATATTTTTCTTGTTTCTCCGTCTAACATCATGCAGTAGTCTGACCGTCAGGCTGAAGAGGCTAAACTGCAATTTGAGTGCTTTCTTTTGGTTGGACTTCATGGGGTCAGGATGCCAGTGAATGACACCTGCGTCTCTTAAAACACAAAAGGGGCAGCATATTTTTTTTTTTGGCTTTGAGGTGGACTCTTCCAATGGAAAATAAAATAGAAGGTTAGCAGTGTTAAGTTCAACCCTATGGCTGTAGTGCTGTGCTGTTTGGTGTTTATGTTGTGTTTGGGCTGCTTTCATTTTTATTTGATTATTTCTGTGCGGCTCTCGTGTGTGTTGTAAGAAGTTGGACTTTCACGTTTCTTTGATCACACCGCATGCTAACTTAATGTGTATCCGTTTAGCAAAGTTAAAGCTATGTTGCTGCAGGGGAGTTCAAAAATAAATCGTCTGTTTTGACGTGATTTCTCCAGCATTTCGTGGTGACTCTGCCTCATTGCAGAGCGTTGACATTAAAAAGTAGCCCGGCTAACTCCTTACTCACGACAAGACTCCTCAAGATTGCCTTCAAAAGAGGATACAGCAGAAGCTCAAACATATATTGTAGCTTTCCAAGCATTTTTTAAACAGCCCAGTGCACATAGCCTAGTGCTCTCCTGCTCAGTTTTCAAAGTCTTTCTACTTTTAGCGACCCATGCTTTAACAAGTCAACGATTCACGACTTTTACTGAGTAGTGTAAGTCGGTTGAAATATGCAGTTACAGTGTCTACAGCTGGTGTCCTGAAATGTGCAGCTGCTGGAGCTGTTTCACGTGTTGTTGAAAGTGTGGTATGTTGCTATAGCGCAGAGGGGTTGTCGCATCACTGAGTGCTCCTCGTGCTCCTCGTGCTCCTCGTGCTGCTCGTTGTCGGTTAAATCGTCTTGTGCTGTATTGTCACGGTTGTGTTTTCAGAGTGTCAGAGTCGACCTTATCAACAGCACTGTCCGACTTGACGATTTAGAGGAGGAATAAAACAACACGTTGTTACCGTTATCCTGTGCGTGTGCTGCTTGCTTCTCAGCGTTTCAGCACCACCGATCTGTGAACAGCGACTTCCCTTTCACCCCGTTTAGTTCCCAAACTTTACTTTGGTTATCCCTTTTACAATTATCATACTATTAAAAGTGAGAGAACAGCAGAAATGCATGTATGTACCT